CGCGACAGGCACCTCAACTGCCCGCGCGCTCGACGCCGCCGCCTGCGCCTGCCGATGGCGCGTCAGTTCGGCCTGGACCTTATGCGGGAAATTACGAGATAGGCACGTGGAACTCTCAGGCCTTGTTTGCCCAGGACATCTTCTGCCACCATAGCAAAACCAAATGCGCTCACCGCCTCGCCGCAAGGCACTCCATCATGGTCTGGACCGAGACGCACGGCACCATTGATGGGAATAGGGGGTGGCGCGACCCCCCTGGATGCACATGGTGGTGGCCACCTTGGGCTACTGCGGCTGCCGCGGGGGTCGGGATTACTGTCCCGAACGGCTTCCTCATGCAGTTCGACTCTTCCCGCACCCGGTGGCAAGTGATCGCCCCTGGGCGGGCTGCTATTCTTCATCTTCGAGGCCCGGGTGGATTGGAACGCGTGGCGGTATATTTTCCCACAGGTTCGGATGTCCTGGAGGGGGGCGCTTGGCTGTTGGACTCGCTGCCGCACCTCCCACGCTCTGTCGGGAGTCTAAGAGAGGCATTGCGCCGGCGGCTTGCTCAGGAACTGCTACATGCGGACATCGCCCTCGCCCTCCTGGCTGGCGACTTCAATTGGGCGGCGCGTCCCGAGGACCGGTGTGCCTTAGCTGCGGCTGCTTCCTCAGGAGGTCGCGACCAGTCCGAGGAATCCCGATGGCGCCGGCTTGTCTTGGAGCCCTTCCAGATGCACGAGCTTCACCAGCCAGAGACCACGCACGCTCCCGCCCAAGCGCGATCCAGGTTGGACCGAATTTACACGAATCAGCACACCGCTGAACAATTTGATCGTCGAGTGCAGCGCGCGGCACTGGAATGGGTACCTGGCCTGTCCGCTCACCGCGCCGTTGCCGCCTGTCAGCGGCGCCCGCATTTCCTACCGCCCGAGCAGCGCCCGGTCCCGGAATACATACTCAGATGCCGGAGTGGTCCAGCCGCGTTGCCTTGGAATTCGAACGCTCGCAGCGCGACTACCCACGTCTTTCGGACATCGGCAAGGTGTCGTTCCTGAAGCGCGCCATGCGGGACGCGGCGACGCACTTACCATCGGGTTCTTCTACTGCAACGGCCTCCCTCGAGGACAAGGTGGGGATTGCAATGGAATTCTTGCGGGCGCTGGAGCACCAGCGCGTCGGACACGTCAACGAGTGTCTGGCCAAGTACGCGTACCTCGGCGGCCTCGTCCAGAACCCTTACCAGCGGCTGGGCGGGAACGCGCGCAGCTATCGCAGGTTCCAGGCGCGCGCCCTGGAGTTGGCAAAGGACCGCGCTTTGGACGAGTTCGGCAAGTTCCACGAGGACCTCCCTGATCTCTCATCCCACGAGGCGGCGGCTCGCCGACAGTAGAACAGTCGACTTCTGCAACGCCTTGCGCCGGGGCGTGGAGGGGCCATGCAAGCGGTGCGGGGGCTAGATGGGGCAATTCACGCGAATCCCGACAGCATGGCAGCGGCCAGGATGGGCGCGCTGACCGAGAGGACAGCGCCCGCGCCCGCCGCCCCGCCGCGCGGCAATTGGACAGGGACGACATCGCCAAGGCGATCCAGCACGCGTTGAGCTCAGCCCCCGGTCCTGATGGGATTCCTTTTAGCGCTTGGCGGGCTATCGAGCATCTCGCAACGGAGGTACTTTGCAATGCCTTCTGTGCCCTCGGCGCATCTGAGGGTGTTGCCCTCCTTGATAGCGAATGCCCTGCTTTCAATGAAAGTTGAATGGTGTTTCTGCCTAAGAAGGCTGATTGCGCGGACGCCGCTGGGCGAGCTGTGCATGCGCCAGAGAACGTGCGCCCGCTCAACATCACGAACACGGAGAATCGAATATTGGCAAGCGCGGTGCGCTTGAAGCTGGGTCCGCATTTGGCGCCGGAGATCTCCGACGTGCAGCGCGGGTTCGTGGGGGGACGCAGCATGTTATCGAACCTGGTCGATATGCACGAGAGCATGCAGATCGTTGCGCTATCTGCGGAGAGCGGCGCTGGGGTTCTGTTCGACTTCGCCGCTGCTTTCCCCAGCGTCGGCCGGGAGTTCATGCACGAGCTCTTTCGCTTCAGTGGGATGGCCGGGATGGCTACTACGGTTCGTCGAGGCTTTCAACCAGAACACCGTTTGCCACTTCTCTGTCGGCGGCGCACGCTTCGACGGTTTCGTCATGGAATCGGGCATCCGGCAAGGGTGCCCGCTTTCGCAGCTGCTTCTTGCAGTGGCCGCGGACCTATTGCTCCGGCGTCTCTCCCGCGCCGTGCCAGACGCTGCGGTGCGAGCGCATGCGGACGACCTCGCTTTGACTCTGCCGCAGGGTGTGGTCTCGGCGAGAATCCTGGAGCCAGTGTTAGACGAATGCGCCCAGGTCTCAGGATTGAGGCTGCGCCATGGCAAATCGCAGTGGGTGCCACTGTGCCCCGTCGACTTGGAGGCGGAACGGGCTCGTCTGAGTACCCGTGCTCCCTCGTGGGGGGACTTCGCCGTCAGCTCGTCTGCCACTTATTTGGGCTTCGTGATCGGTCCGGGGCGCGGGTCGAAATCATGGGGTAAGGCGTTCAAGAAGCACCAGGAGAGAGCGCAGGTGTGGGGGGCCGTCGGAGGTGAAATGGCATTGTCCTTAGCTGCCTACAAGATGTACGTTTTACCTGTGATGTCGTTCCTGGCGCAATTCGACGAGGTCCCTGACGCTTGGGAGGCCCACGACCGTCGTGCCTTAGCCCAGCTTCTCCCTGGGCCCCGAGGATGGCTACCCCCCGATGTCCTCCGCGGCCTCGAGCAGCTCCGCTGTTCCGCTGGCGCCCCAGATTTTCGTGCGCTCGCCGACGCAGCCGAAAGTAAAGTCTTTCATTGGGAGGCCCTGGGCGGAGGGGGGCTCCGCGTGGCAGCCAGAGCCCCTGCGCTTCGCCAACTTCGTTGGGAGAGCGACTTGCCAGATTGGCGCGTGGCTCTTTGACAGCCCTGGTTGGATTCCAATTTCGCGTTCTCGCTGGAGCGTGCGGACGAGCGCGTCCGGCTCGCGGCGCCTGGCCTGCTCTGCGAGTCCACTGTCGCGCGACAGCAGTTGCAACGCGTGTGCTACAGCCACTTCGTCCCCGACTTCGCCGAGGCAGCTCTGCGTCATCTTCGCCGTCGCCTTGAACGTTAGGCCATTGCCCTCTTGCCTGGTCGCCGGGTCGATCGCGCCGTGGAGGTATTGCAGGAGGTCTGGCGGACGAGTCCGCCACGCAATCTGGCCGCATTGCTCCGGATGCAGGAATCGCGGCCTTTTGTTCTGCGGGGCGGGAGGGGCCACGACAGCATAGAGCACCACGCGCATTGTCACGTTTTCAGGACGTTCATGACCAGGAGATTGCGGCTCCCTGGCATCGCTCCACTTGACAGGTTTCAGCATATGCTTGGGTTTGGGGCATCGACGGCGCGCGGCCGCACAGTTCGCGCCATCGCGCTTTTCGCCGTGTACAGCACGCGTTGTATGTTGAGGCACGGCCACCGCCCTCCGGTTCGGATGGCCGATTTGCTCCTTCAGCGAGCTCGTGAAGGCGTCCGCGGGCACGCAGGTGCCATGCGAATGCCCACGGCCGCTTTGGCTGGCTTCACGTGGGCTCCTCTTCTCCTCTCCTCCTCTGCCGCCGCTGCTGCCGCTGTCAACTTGCAAGTTCGATTCCGCTTTGCCGGCGGTATTCCACAGCGCACTTTTGGGCGCCTTTGTGTCTGCGTTCGGTGGTTGGGGCCCGAACCTGCGTTGCAAGCCCGCTTTTCTGAGGTTTCTGACTTGCTTGCCCGGTTCCGACTTCTTCTCTGTCCGTCGTCGTCGTCGTCGTCGTCTTCCTTCTCTTCCTGCCCCCGTCAGTGCATTGCGCGAATACTCGTGGTCATTCGCGGTCTTCGACCTGGCTGCGCAGAGGCCAGAATTTCACACCAACATCGGTCCAGGTAATGCGTGGACGATCGTTGGGAAACGAGCCACATTTTGTTGGGAAAGCGTTCTCCTAAACAGTGGCGGAAAGCGTGCTCCAGGTGTTGGTTCCGTTTGTGCAGTCTTCCTCCCTCCCTCCCTCCCTCCTTCCCTCCCTCCTGCTGCTCCTCCTCCTCTTGTCCCCTTCCTCAGTTGGCGGATTTATGATGTATGGCCATCTGGGTTTGAGGGGATGTATAAGTCTGCTCATCCGCCCATTCTTCCTGACTTCGTCGACGCTGATCGGCTCGCCTAGTGCAGGTTGGCCAGCGCATTTTTTCAGGCTAGTGTTTCGTCGTTCCTCCTCCCCTTCGCCCTCGGCACCAACCCCGTGACATTTTGAATGGGTTTCAATGCGCTTGATCGCACTACATGGTTAAACCTTCATTACCACCGGTCCGTGTGGAGGAAAACATGATGGTTGGGATAAACATTTGTTGTATTCATGAAAACCAATGGTCGCAATTGTAGGACCCTCCCAATTAATTCTCCAACAGCTTCCTCTGAGGGGGGGGATCAGGGGGAGTTGAACAACCCAGGGGGATCAGTTTGTTGTGTTGTTTCAGTTGTGTTTTCTGGCATTGGGGCTCTGAGAAAACCCACAAGGGTGAACCCCACGGACCCTTAAAGCACCAATTTGAAGGGGTTTTGTTTGTGGGTTGTTTGGTATTTTTTGTACGTTTTTTGGGGGGTGGGGTGGGGGGGTCATTGCATTCCGATGTGCTATCATGTTTGTTCTTAGTTCTGCGGCGGCGGTCCTCCAACAAAAAAACAAACTCCCAAAGCGCCCCCCCAGGCCTGACCCCCAAACCCACCCGAAAAACTTGAGGGCGTTCAGCGTTGTTCAAAAGGGGCGCTCGGAAGCTCCCACACGCCTCTCCAGTCCTAGTGCCTGACGAGGGCGCCCAGAGGCCGCAAACATACAGAAACTGGCCGGTGCGTTGTCTGTTCACGATGCGAGGGGGTCCTTCAGCCGCCCTCGCGCCGATCCAGGCGCTCGGCCTCCCCACCGCGAGCCCCGCCCAATTTGCAGGAGATCCAGCGCGAACGCGCCCGGCAGGCGCTGCAGCGACAGCAGGCGCCGCTTCTGGCCCGCCGCCTCTGGTCGCGCCGCCGCCGTCGTCGTCGTTGTCTTTGTCTTTGTCGTCGTCGTCGTCGTCGTCGTCGTCGTCGTCGTCACCGCCGTCGTCGTCGTCGTCGTAGTTGTCATGGGCCTTCCTTTAAATTCCAGGGCGATGACGGCCGTCACCAAAGGTGGGGAGAAAGGGGGCTGGTGACGTCATGTTTCGCGCCGGCGGTGGCTGGGAATGACCGAGGACGGGCAGGACCAGCATGTGGTGGCGATCTGCACCACAGCGCCTGTGTGAACCACAGTGCGTGTGCGTGTGCAACACAGCACCATTGTACACCACAGTGCCCGCGTGCGAAGGAATCCTTACGACAAACTGGAGCGCCTGTGGACTCTAAAACAAGCAAGTATTTTATACAAAAATTGGAAAGGAATATTTGCGGAAATAGGAGCGCCTCTGGGCTCTACGAGTCCTCCCTAGAAGGAGGAGGCTAGGTAGGAGGAGGAGGACGACGAACAGGAGGAGGAGGAGGATGAGGTGCCGTGCCTTTGGGATGCGGACGCGCATAGTGACAGAGGCGGCGTCCTCCTGAAGGAGGTCGCTTGAAGCGCGGGGCAGTGGAGGCAGTGCCGTGGGATGCGCTGTTGCATGGCACCTTAGCGCTTCATGGCACGAGCACTTAGCTTTTCTTTGCCCATTCCCATTGTGCGGTGCACACTGAAATGCGCACGTGCGCTGTAGCGCCGGCCCGCACGACGGGGAGAAGGGGAGAAAAGTGAGGGGAAACGAAAACCAGGAGGAGGAGGACGAGGAGGAGGACGAGGCGGAGGACGAGGAAGACAAGGAGGAGGAGGAGGAGGAGGAGGAGGAGGAGAAGGAGGAGAGATTCGGGAACACAGTCGCATCTTTTCATCAACATTACCACGGCCTGGTGTTTAGCTGTCCGCAGCAGATCCTCACCGACAGGTTTTTTGTTGCCTGTCCTGCGCACGCAGGTGGTTTTGTGTTTCCATCGCTGTGTTGCAAGTGGATGCTGTGCTGTACACGGGCGCCATGGTGTACTCAGGCGCTGCGGTGCACGCAGGCAGCGTGGTATACATTGGCGTTGCGTTGCAGACGGTTACTGCGGTGTACACATGTCGTTGTGCTGTTTGCAAGCGCTGTGGTGCATGCAGGCACTGGTGTGCACAGACGCTGCGTTGCACACGGCTGTTGCGGTGTATGCGGGCGGTGTGGTGTGCACGTGTGGCGCATGGGGGCATGGTTCACGCACGAGCTGTGGTGCAGATCGCCACCGACATGCTGCTCCAAGTTGGTCCCGGTGATCCCTAGGCATTCCCGGACGCCTCCTACGCAGAACGTGTCCTCACCTTGGGGGCCGGTGACGGCCGTTATCGCGGAAATAAGTTTACACTTGCGAAGGACCCAACCATATGCAGTTGCGAGTACCGTCGTTGGGGGTATCGCCTTCGGGGGATCTCCTCATGGGGCTGGGCGCACGCGAGCGCTGGCATTTGGGCTTTGGGTCGGGTTCCCTGTGAGGTCACAAAACGTGCAAAGCATGTACCAAAACAGTTGCGGTGGGCATATGCGATCGCTGGATTGTTTGGGCCTTCGGTTGGGCTCCCTATGGGGCGACGAAGCGTGCACTCGATTGTGCCAAGTTGGGCGCAGTGGGCGCATGCGAACGCTGGCATTCGGGCCTTTCGGTGGGGTTCCGTATGGGGCCCCGAAGCGTGTGATGGGCGTGCCAAAATGAGTGCGGTGGGCGCGTGCGAACGCTGCCATTTGGGCCTTCGGTGTGGCTCCCTGTGGGGCCACGAAACGTGTGAGGGGTGTGCCGAAATGGATGCGGTGGGCGCATGCGAACGCTGTCATTTGGGCTTTCGGTGGGGCTCCGTATGCGGCGACGAAGCGCGTGAGGTGTGTGCCAAAATAGGTGCGGTGGGCGCATGCGAACGCTGGCATTCGGGCCTTCGGTGGGGCTCCTTATGGGGCCACGAAACGTGTGAGGGGTGTACAAAGAGGGGCGGTTGGCACATGCGAGCGCTGGCACTTGGGCCTTCGGGGGGGGTCCAGCGTGTGAGGGGTGTGCCGAAGTGGATGCGGTGGGCGCATGCGAACGCCGATGTTTGGGGCTTTCGGTGGAGCTCCCCATGGGGCCACGAAGCGTGTGAGGGTTGTGCTGAAACGGGCGATGACGACAAGGATGACGAGCGGAGGAGGCAGGGGGCAGCGGGAGGAGTGAACGCGGGGACCGTCTCTTCAAAACGAGGACCCAACACCACAGGATGGTTGGGAAAAACAGACTCCAGTGGCTGTGGTCGTCGTCATCGTCGTCGCCGTCGCCGTCGTTGTCGTCGTCATCGTCGTCATTGCAGCCTCTTGCCCCCTGTGGCAGGCCCTGCACGCCCTCAGCGAGGCCGTTGCGGCGGGCCTCATCTCCTGGGGGGGGGTCGCGGGCTGGCGGGGCGGAGCCGTCGGGTGGGCAGGGGCGCACAGGAGAAGAGGTCATGATGGCGAGGCGTTCCAAGATTTGCCGGGTCCCCGCTAGCTGCAGATTGGACGGCCGCCAGATACTCTTGGAAATCCTGGAATGCATCCTGAGCCAATCCCATCATGACATCGTTTTCGTGCTGCCCCCCATTTTGGGAGGTCCCCCAGCCTAGTTCCCCTCGTATGTTGCAGAGCTCCAGATTTTCCGATGATAGGTTCAGCGCATGTTGCCAACAGAGTTTGTGAACCGTGCCCTGTGGCTCAAGGCAAAAACGTTTGCTTGTCTCCGTCTGCCACAGTTGGTAGCGGAACGCGGTCCTCGGGCGGGGCGCCATTGGCAGGCAGAGGCACGCTCAGTGAGAGCGCGCCCTGCCAGCTCGCGTGCGCTCGCCCAGCGGCTGCGCTCGCATCCAGCAAGCAGCGTGTGATCCACGGCGAGCGGGATGCCCGACGACGGGAAGGATGTAGAGGTGTTCGCAGTCAGGCAAGAGCCGCCAGCAGGAGCCGCCCCAGGAGGCGGTCAGCAGCTGGCGCCTGCGGTCAGCATGGGGGCCGACGAGCTCAGGGAGATGATCAGGGGCATAGTTTCAGAAACTATGGGATCTGGAGCTCGACGGCAGGAAGCGACAGAAGATCGAGACCCTTGGAAGGACCCCACCAGAGATCCTTGGGTTAAGGAGAGCGCTCCCACTGGAGGAGCAGGCACCGACGGAGACGACAAGGACAAGAGCTGGTGGGACAACAAGGACGGCAGCTGGGACAAGGGCGGCTGGAGCAATACTGGGCGAGACGCTTGGGGCTCCGGCGCCTGGGACAGCTGGAAGGACACGTGGAATGGGTCCAGCAGCTGGGCCGGCGGGAGAGGAGACTTCAGCGACCCTCCCACTTGGCCGGGCTGGACCAACTATAGGCAGTGGAAGATCGCGATGAGAAGATGGAACAAGAATACGGACGTCCAGCTCTGGCGTCGAGCCGAGAAGTTCATGAAACTCTTCGACTACAACTTCCAGGCGAAGTTCGAGGACGTGAGCGAGGACACCCTCGTGTCACCCGAGTGGCTCGACGTGCTCATCGGCAGGATGGACATGATGGCAGGAGAGCGTGAGGGAGACCAGCTCCGTCGAGCTGGCCGCCGCGCCTTCTTCGAGGCCGCGAGGGAGTCAAAGGAGTCCCTCACGCAGTTCGTCGCTCGACGAGAGGCTCAGCTCCAGGACGCCGAGGGACACGACCTGTGGATGAGCCCGAAGCTCAAAGGACTACTGCTGGAGGAGGGCGCAGGCTTGGGCGCCCAAGGCATGCAGAATCTACGCACGCTCACGCATGGCAGGCTCGACTTCGCCGACGTTGCGTGGGCCCTCCGGCAGATGGACGCCACCGGGATGGAGCGCCTCCTCCCTGGGCGACCTGGCCCAGGTGCGATGCTGGCGACGAGTTCTGAGGACCGAGGTCCAGCGGGCGACCCAGCTCTCACGTTTCAGTCCTCTCCTCCTCTCTCCTCCCCCGGTCGGTTCGAGGTCGGTGGTGGTGCCAACGGAGACCCCGACGAGGCCAACTACTACGACGGCTCGACCGAAGGAGACGACGGCTCGTATGACTCGGAAGATGACATCGTCGCGCTGCTCGCAGAGATCGAGGACCTGGACGTGCAGGTGGACAACGACGACGAGATCTGGGCCTTCCTTGAGAAGAAGCCCAACAACTCCCGCACCTGGAAGCATAATAAGGACATCAAGAGGGCTGCCCGCAAGGACAGGGAGTACTACGGCATGAAGAAGTCAGATGGACGAGGGCCTCCTCCTCCTCCCGCTGCTCGAGCCGGCCGCCCGAGGGATGCCACCGGTCGACGGGATCGCAGCGGCCGAGGTCGAGAGGCTCGTTCCAATCATCGAGGCCGACTTTCACGAGAGCAGCTCATGAAGGTGAACCGATGCAAGAGATGCAACGAGAAGGGGCACTGGGGCAAGGAGCGCCCCAAGTACGGAGACCACGTGCCAGGAGCTGCGAATCCCAGCCGTCCCAGCAGTGGCGGGAAGTCAGACCGACAGAAGGTGTCGGCCTACATGTTTGACGGCTTCGTGGACTCGGGCTCTCCAGGCGGCTCCTCGGGCATCTTTGTCTCGGACGCGATTGAGGCCTCCTGGGACGAGGCAGGCGACGAGATCACCAAGGGCAGCATCTTCATCACGGCCGGGGCCACACAGGCTCTGGTGGATCCTGGAGCGGGCAGCGACCTGGTCGGAGTGCAGTCGTTGAACCGAGAATCTCAGGCGTTGGCCAGCCTGGGTCTCCAGTACGTCGAGATCCCCCAGTCGTGCAGGCCTCTCAAGGCGGCGCACGGCGTTGGCGGGGCTGCCAAGGTGATCAGCGTCATCCTTTTTCCTCTCTGCCTGGGAGGCGCCCTGGGCGTGATAGAGACGACAGTCCTAGCGGACAACGTGCCACATATTTTGAGCGTCAATCTTTTGGAGTATCTCGGCTCGGTGATAGACCTGCCGAGAAACGAATTGGTTTTGCATGCGCTAGGCGAGACCGAGAAGATGACTCGCCTGGGCTCCGGGCACAGGCTTGTCGACATCATTCGTCCTCTCAAGGAAGAGGTGAGTGTCGCGCCTCCAGCTCTGAGGAGGTACCCGTTCCTGAGGGCCGACTCGTTTCAGCTAGTCGACCAAGCCCCCCAGATCATGTCGGATGAAGGGGTGATCTCGAGGTATATGGTCCTTCTCATCCTTCTCATCTTCATCATCAGTGGGGGACTGCTGCGGGCTGGTCATCGATGGGGCTATCTCGGGACGTTCGGGAGCCAGGTCCGGGCCAGGTTCGAGGTCCTTCGGAACAAGCTTATCGGCGTCTTCTGGCCACGGGCTAAGTTAGCAGCCTTCGAGACAGTCCGGGCCTCGGGATCCCCGCGAGAAGCTAAGGTGAGGCCGAAGGCGACAAGGAGACCTACGAGTCGGAGCGTGAGTTGGGTCCTCGTTTTCAGATTCAGCCTCACCATCTCGGTCTCCGTAGTCGTTTTAGGCTCAAATCTTTCCAGCCTTTCAGAACTTTCACGACACCCAGGCCGACTCCGGCCCTCCCAGAGCGACCTCAGTCATGCGGACGGCGACGCTGGTCCTGATGATAGTCACTACGATGCGACCGGTCCGAGCTGGGAAGAAGAAGGGAGACACTCCCGCGAAGAGGGCCACCGAGGAGTTTCTCGCTCGCAGCCGGTCCGCCGAGTCCGAGGTGAGCCTGGAGTCTTCGGTCGGCTCAGAGGCGACGGAGATGCCGGGCACGTTCGTCGGCGCCGCGTCGGCAGAGCAGACGCCGGGCATGCCGATGGACCAGCCACTGGCCTCCACGGGGCCGAGCCCCGGGGAGGAGGGCCCCACGTCCAGCGGGGCCATGCCAGGGCCCCCGCCGCCGGCCCAGCCCATCACGTGGGCGGCGACGGCCCACGCCTCCGGATGGACGGGGCCAGCGGGGAGCATGAGCAGCCCTCAGCCTCAGGCGCAGGGAGTTCCCCGGTCGTCGATGACGGGCATCAGCGACTGGACGGAGAGTGGCACCCAGCCAGCAGCATCGTCCAATCCAGCCCGCACGCCTCCAGCACCGCCCCAGCTAGTGGTCGCGCCAGTGGGACCAGGCCTGACTCCTCGGATGACGCCGGTCCCTCCCGGACCCGCCGCGGACGGAGGTGGCGCGCTCCAGGGGACGCTCACCGGCCCTGCCGCCAGCAAGCCTCCCCCAAGACCTCCACCTTCATGCAGCCACCCGATCGAGAGCGTGCGGTACTACGGGAATCGCCATGGGAGTGGCTCCAGGTGTGGGCTATGTGGGCAGCGGCTGGTGTGGGTGCCGCGGGGGGTCCGGACAGACGGAGGACCTCCGCCGCTCACAGCGACAGAGGCCGCTCGAGCAGCAGCAGGATCAGCTCAGCGGGTGGTGGACATGCTTCAGAGCGATCCTCAGTTTCGAGCAGGAACCGCCGCACTCAATACGGTCAACTCTCTGGGCTCGCTACTACAGGGGCTGCAGTGGCAGCTGCAAGGAATTCCCGAGGGAGTGCGCGCTCTCGGACGAGTGCAGGAGGTACTCGATCAGATGGCGGCGGTCGCAATGAACGTGCAGTCCACCCCGACTCAAGTGGAAGAAGGGCTCCAGCAGATATTCCAGCAGCTCCTCCAATTGAGGAGTATCATGACGGCCTTCGAGGGGTTCGCAACGGTGGTGGACGAGGTGCAGACCACGGTGAATGCGATGGCCGGCCAGATCAATACGATCGAGAACTCAGTCGCGCAGCTCGGACAGATGACCATGCAGATTGGCGCGGCAGTGAGTGGCCTGCACAACTACATGACCTACCAGTACCAGGCGGCACAGCAGGCGGAGCAGCAGCAGCCTCCACAGGAATCGATGGAGGACGACCCCTGGCACGAGCCGAGCAGTGCTGGGAGCGGCAGCGGAGGGCTACCGGGGCCCTCGGGAGCCACGACGGCGACTACGACTACGCCGGACAGCCCGCCGCCAACTGCAACGATTGCGACGACGTCTCTGAGCCCGATCCCCGAGGGCAGCACCCAGGCGGAGGTCCCGCTCGGATGGGAGGTGCTCCCGGAGATGCGAGGGCATCCGCAGTAGGCCGAGAGTCTCACGCCAGTGCGCGTCTCAGGCTCGGTCGAGCCGCATGTTTTGCCCAGTGCTGCGTAGCTTCTGGCCCTCCACGGGCACCAAAGAAAGGGTCCTCCCGGGGCTCGAGCCTCTTATCCTCCTCCTCTGGTCCTCCTCCTTCTATCTCCCTCCACCCAAGGGCCCAAGAGGCTGCCCGATCCGAGCACGGGCCCCGGGCCCAGTCTAGTTCGAGGATCACCCTCACCGAGGACATCCAGGGTGACTGGCTGGACGGAGATCGATATAACGACGACCACGAGGTGGCCTGTGGGTCGAGAGTCCGGAGGGCCGTCACCGAGTGCGCGG